TGAGCTCTAGGGCACCTGGGTGGCTCAGTCGGTTAAGCGACTGCCTTCGGCTCAGGTCATGATCCCAGGGTCCTGGGATCGAATCCCACATCGGGCTCCCTGCTCTGCGGGGAGCCTGCTTCTCCTTCTCCCACTCCCCCTGCTTGTGTTCCCTCTCTTGCTGTCTCTCTCTCTGTCAAATAAATGAATAAAATCTTAAAAAAAATAAAAATAAAAATAAAAGCTGAGCTCTACTTTAGAAAGTAAAAAAAAATCACCACTCTAAAGGTTTCAACTGCCGCCTTGGGTAAGTAGTACTACACGTCCTGTTATTTGCGATCCCTGAGGCAGTGGAGCACAATGCCGGGTTTCTCTTTGCAGCCTCATCTCCAGACAGCTGGAAGAGACCAGAAGGGAAACACTTAGGCGGCACACAGACTAGGTCCTGCTGGCGCAGAGTGCAGCCCTCAACAGGAGATCCCTCTGCAGGAGGTAAATGCCACTAAAATCAGATTTTGAAAGGTAAAAGAAAAAAGAGGTTATTAAAGAGAAATGAAGACGTTATGAGAGACATATTATTAAAGAGACAGAAGTGAGAAGTAAGGGAATGAGTTAGTGAGGTGTGAAAGCAAATGTTATCGCACCCTTCAAATCCACATGTGAGCACACACACGCAAAGTCTGTGCACAAAAGCCCAAGTGGACAGAGGCCTTAACCCTCACTTTTCGAATGCATACAGTGATTTAACAGATTTCAGTCTCATTATTCTTCACATTTTCAGGACTATCAAAATCACACCTGGCATGACAGGATCTGTAAATTCACACCTGAGTGAAGATGGCGGTGTGCAAACTCCACCTTGAACACGTTAGTTTCTGAAAATATACAGGTTGGTTTAAGATTTAAAGGGAAAAAAGTAGGTTACACTTGTACCCGGAAAGGTCTGCATGACTCAGAGTTTAATAATAGGATACATAAGATGTCACCCTTAGGTCACTGATTCTAGGGTGACTATAGTAGACTGCCATTTTAAGACATCACCATCTAGCAGCTGTTTTGTTCACAATCTGTAGAAGAAATGTGTTGCTTGTCTCTATTAATACTCATTTGACAGGTGTATACATTCCAACTCACATGCATCTGCCAATTGGAGCCCTTTGAAGCAGGGTGTTGAAAGCCACGACAGCTGTTACCTTTAGACAGTCCTTCGCATGCCCAATTCTCTCCTTTATCTAAAGAGCTAATTATTGATACTTCAAATTGTAACAGATTTTTGTGTCTAAAACCCAAGTCACAAAGGAAAGATATCAATGGAGGATTTCTGAAATAAGCACAATTATCATTCTCTGGGACAAAGAAGGCAACAATCTTTCCTCCTAGGAAGATGTGGTAGAGGCCAAACAGGCTGAGGAGGTCAACATTTACAAGAGCTCAGTGACCTGCAGGAGACTACAGACATCCCGCCAGGACTGTGTGCTTTTGCCAGAGGTCACTGGGAAATACTTCTAAAACGTATGTATTGACGATTTATGTACCTAGGCAATATAAACTAATGTAGCTTCCACTATGTCATGGTGCTCTAGAGCCTCTGAGTCAACACCTATGTAGTGCCAAAGATTATAATTTATCAGTTCACCCCTTCACCATGGCAAGTGAAAAGTGGATGGTACATACTGCACTGTAAAATCATTACGCTAAGGGGGGTTTCCTGCAGCCCCAGTCACGGTGATGACCGGAGGAGAATTATGTTTTCAAAAATAAAGCTATTATTTCTAAAGCACAGTATGTAGGTATTTAAGTCATGGCCTAATCTGCTTTTTCTGTGCTGAAATAATGCCCACATCTACTCATCGGCCTTTGTTACATATTCAGCCCATGGTGGCACTCATGGAAATAAGACATCATCTAAAAATCCGTGTTCTTACCTTCCAAGCTCATACCTTCCTTCAAAGAACTCAGCATCTCCATTTAGAAGAAGGTTAATTTAACCAGGCAATATTCCAATTCACATTTAGTATGAATTTTTAATGTCTGTATAAAATGCTTAATAGAGGCTCTCCTTTATTTTCTTAAATGATGTTAAATAATGCGCTATTTGACACAAATTCAAAAAATGGTGAAAAATGTCACTAATAACTTTTTATTTCAAATACATCATTTTATTTTAAAAGGTCTCAAGAGCCCTGCAAGTTCAGGCTTAACAGATTTTAGTGTGTCAAACCCAAGAAAGCTTATAAAATGAGAAAGAAAGTACTCACTGTGCCCCTTTGATCTGGCTCAGAAAGGCAACAAAACAACTCTGTAGTTTGATTTTGTTTTGCTTTAGAACTGGTATGTCACTGCAGATCATGGCCTGCAACTCTATTTCACTGATGAGGAAATTAAGGCATAGAGAGGTTAAGTGGCAAGGAAACACAGACCCTTTGAGTAGAAGGGACCTTATAATTAACATAGACCAGAAATATTACAACCACAGACCTGCATTATTCATCTAACTGAAAAAAAAATGCCATTTTCATATAAGCTAAAAGTCTGTCTAAAAAATCTTTAATTCTAAGTTTAATAGCAAACTTAGCAGACCTATTCTTTCTGTCTGCTATAAAACTTTGTCTTTCGTCTTAAACATGAAGAAGCTCAGAGTAGAATTTAGTGCCCCAGCAGAATACCACTTTCTGGCCATGGTTACTAGGGGTAATCTCATCCTGTCACTCAGCTCTTCCTAAATTCCATAACTATTATTTGAGCATCTGTTCTATATCCAACAGCATTCTAGGTGCTAAAGATACAGCAGTGAACAAATCATGTGAAAATTCCTGTCTTCAGGGAAATAAATTTTTTAAGTATAACAGAGTATGTTAACACTATGAAGAAAATACAAAGTGGAAAAGGAGATGGGAGTGTGGAGTGAGGCTCAACTTTAAAAAGAGTGGTCAGTGAAGGCCATTTGAGTGACATTTGCATAGAGATCTGAAAGAGAGAAGGGGGGAGGAGTGAGCAAGCAAAGGGAATGGTATCTAGGGAGGATATTCCAGGCACAAGGAGCAACAAACCACAAAAGCCCTGAGGTAGAAGTATGCCTGGCCTGCATGACTCATATTTTTCTTGTTCATTATTTTAAATGAAGTATGTTTTTCTTTATTGAAAGTTCTGTCCAATACTTTGGAAGACAATCAGGGACATTCATACAATCCTAATTACTACAGATGAGCTTCAGATTCACTTCAGAGGAGTTTTTAGTGGTTATGTATTACTATTACACTGCATGCACCCTGCCGCCCTTCCACTCCCCACTCCTCTTCTCCATTAGAGATCAAAATATTGACTTCCCAAAACTAACTTATGGAGATTTAAAGCAAAATCTGCTTTGGGGAAAGGGCCTACCTTAAGGAAATCAAACTGCAACGCAGAATACCCCAACCCACAGGACTCCCTCCCTTGAACTTCTAAACCCACAGCCTTTAAGGATTGTGACTGTTTCCATCTCATTATATGCTACCTTGTCCTGTCCTTGTATATACATCCGCTCTCCTAGTGGGAGCAGGGCCCATATTCCTGGGAGCAGGGCCCATATTTTGGGAATGTCTGAATCCCACCACAGGGATCTGCACACGGATGGCACCAATATCTGTCTGCCGATGATGTCATAGAAACCACCACAAAGAGAGCAGACATTCCTCCCGTTTTAAGTATCTGTTTGTGGATAAAGCATGAAAGAGACATCAGTCTCTTACAGGCGTTTGGATAATCTCAACCATCTTGGCCAAGTTACTGTTTGTGTAACATTCCATTCTGTCGAAGTTTCCCTTTGCATTTTTGGTGGGGCACAGCACACACTTTCGGTCTAGACACCAGCATGGATTACCCACCGAACACAGAGGAACCGCACCGGGTGGCATCCCGTTCTGTTCACTTCAGCCAACATCCTTAAACACTATTACGGGAAAGAAACTCGACAGAAAACTATCAAACACCAGCCACGGCCCGTACAGTCTGGCAAAACAGACACATAAGGAACAAGTTCTGTGCATGCAAGACACGCAGAAGTATTTTGAAAGTATATAAGCAGTGGCCCAGAGGGTGAGGTAAGACTTCACCAAAAAAAGCTGGTACCTGAACAGCCAGGGTTTTGAAAGACGACTAGGCCTAGGACAGTCAAACACGGGATCAAAGGGCATTCCAGATTGTGCACAACACTGACAGAAACATAACAGACTGCAAACTGCTGGAGGAACTCATTCCCCATCAGTGAAGGAAAGCTGGTCTGTTGCACTCTGAAGCTTTCCAAGAAAAAAAACAAGCTTTCAAATAAGGAGCTGAGGAGGAAAGTTTTACCACTGCTTGTTTTGTTAAACCTCTTAGCCTTGCTTTGCTTTGTTTTGCTCTGTTTTGTTCCCTCTTAAAGAAATAAAGTACTGTGCTGGCATAAAACTTCAATGAGGAAAAGCACTTCAACTTTAGAAAACGTCTAAGTGGGCAAGGGCCAAGGAATGAATAAGTGAATGAATGAATAAGTGAATGAATGAAAACATAAATAAAACTTTTCTAGAATATGTAAATGGAGCAAAATTAAAACCTCAGTCATCATGGACCTGAAATATTCATTCCAACCCTTCACCAACTCAATAGGTACTTATGGTATTTGGTGCCCACTATTTGTTAATTTCCGGAAGACCAGGCCCACGAGGCCCTCTCATTGCCCTCCTTTTTGAGCGAGCTCTTGCTTGCAATTTAGTAAAAGAAAGAAGCAGAGGATAATTCATTGTAGCAGGTTCCCTCCACTAAAGCCTGAAGCTCATGCAGAGTTAAATTCCAGTTAAGGTAGCCAGTGAGGTCAACACACTTAAATAATATTACAACGACAAACAACTGTGAGATGTGAGAAACTTGTCTGACAGAGGTCCTTGATAAGGGTGTCTCATCACCTCTTCCCGTGAGCCGGGAGCGGGCGAGCTGGACTGCCTGGCCAGGGGTTTGAAATGCTGAATGCGGAACAGAAGAGGGGACAGAAGGGGGAAAGTTACCTGGGAGCTCAGGTAGACTTTGAGGCACTCCTCGCACACGGCCTTCTTGCAGCAGGGCAAGGGCTTGATGGGCTTGTCTTCCAGGCACACCCGGCACATCAGCACCATGAGGGGCACGTAGGGATCCCCTACCCCACCCAGGTCAGAGTAGGGTGGAGCTCCCAACAGGCTGGGCACGGAGAACGGCTCGGGCGCCAGGTAGAACTCCAGCTCGATGCTGCCGCCGTCGGGGGACAGGGGGTCTGTTGGGAGGGACAGCCGGGGGCTGGGGAAGGAGGAGGGGGTGCTGGGAGCGTTCGTCACCGGCGGAGCCCGAGGTGAAGACGCGGGCGGTGGGAGCTGCTCCGCGGTAGGGGCTTCGGGCAGGTCATTCTCCACGCAGAACACCGAGCAAAAAACTTGTCTCTTGGCGGGGATTGGGCGCCGCTGCCCCAGCACGTCCAGGACCAGTTCGTCCGCCGCCCCGACGCGGGTCCTGGGCTCCGGCTCCTCGCCTGGGGGCGCGTCCTGCTGTTCATCCCCTCCCTCGTTTCGGTCCCCAGCTTCCTCCTCCTCTTCCAGCTGCTGTTGCAAAGTCTGGGGGTTGAGGGGCCCGGTAAGTGCCAGTCCCGCGGGCTGCCCGGGCGCTCGGCTCCTCCTCCCGTCCGGGCCCCACCGGCTCCTCTCGGGCTCCGGGGCGCTCGTGTCCGCGCAGCCCGAGTCGCTTCCGCAGCCACCGCCGCTCGGCTCC